GTCAGTAGAGGAATATCTTACCTAGCAATAAATTGCATACTCTGTAAATAAAAGGCCTTGGGTTTAGCTATACACAGGTACTATATTTAGCTGACAGGAAGAGTGTTTTTCTCCCACATAATTTACCTTTAAAGTGAGAGTGTGTACAGTACTGTGCAGAGATGTGCAAAATCTATTGTTCTGGAAACATTCCCTTCAGTTTCTCCTCCTCCCTTTGTTCCATGGGTAATCCAATGGTTTTCCAAAATGTAATCCTCCAAATGGTATTCCAGACATGGGCCAGCTGTAAAACAGGCCTGTCTAAATTATCATGTCCAGAGCGGCATAAATGTGTTCCAGTTCATTGATTAACTTCTGGGAAACTGCTGGACCACCACTGGAAAGAACAGATTGGTATGGTCCAGAAGAGAAACAGAATGTTCCAGAGTTCTCCAGAACATTCCCTTCCCAGAATTGCAGCCTTTGCACATACTTAGTACTAAGTTCTGAGTTGGATGGACTAATAGTCTGAAATGGGTAATGCTCCTTCCAGTCATCTTATAAGTAGGCCCAGAATTGTTTGTCAGTGGTGAAGCTGTTAGGAGTTTTATATACCAGACACAAATGGCTATGCTTCCAGTGAAACCATCCTGAAGATTGGGTTGTTTCAACCAATATACGGTCATTAGTATGTATCTGATTCTGAGCTAATAAAGTTCTAATTAGTTTTTTTCCCCTTTAAAGCAGAATTTGTAAATTAGATTTCATGTACTTTCTTCATTTGCTATTTAGGGCACCTATGCAACAGTATATAAAGGAAGAAGTAAGCTGACGGAAAATCTAGTAGCTTTAAAAGAAATCAGATTAGAGCATGAAGAGGGTGCACCATGTACAGCTATTAGGGAAGGTGAGCAACACTTTTCTATTCTGGATTAAAACACTAGCAGAAATTTCAGTTGCAAAATTGTGTCTGTTGTGAAAAAATAGGTTAAATTCTGGGCCTGGTAGGTGTAATTTCTAGCTCACAAACATCAGAGTGTGCCGCATGCACTTTTTGCTTCTCCTTAGAGCAAGGCAAGTTCGGGGGTAGGGGGAACATAAGCTTAAGGCCTGTTGCTTTCCTATCACTTCTGCTATGGCTTATGGCCTAATATCAGAAAATTAAGCACTAATTGTTTTTTTAATATGAATTTCAAATGTTTGAAATACGTTTCTTATTTCTCCAGCATATGACCAAAGCAAAATGATTTAGAATTAAACAAAAGGATTGGAATGTATTGAAATGTAAGGTTTGGGGTAGGTTAACAGATACGTAGTCCCTCTAATCAAATTTAAGATTAATGGCAGCAAATTATATTCTTATTCAATTCTTTTGGTGGAGGAAGTGTCTTAATTCTCCTATATCCTATGACATTTAGGATATGCAGAGAGTTGGAACAATAAACCATGAATGTATAGTCTCTTATTGAAGACACTGCAGTTTTATTGCTTACTTGTTGAAGAATAGAACTACTGTATGTAAAATATTTTGAAGTCAAAATGTTGAGATCCCAGAATGTCAATATTTCATCAATATGGGCCATTCCAAACTCATTGGAATTGGATTGACCTCAAAATGTGTTGTTTAAATGAGCAGTATCTATGGGGGGGTCAAAGGGGACCAGACTAATCTAAGCAGTGACATTACAGTACATGTTCTGCCCCCCTTTTATGCGTGTTGCAACCTTGCACATATGCCCAAAAGGGATGGAACTGAGAAAAGCAGTGAGATTTTGCATGTCACTGATGTCAGTCTCTGTTTTAGAGTTAACACAGAGCTCATTTCAAAACTGAATAATTTCCAGTAAGGTTGGAATGACACATTTGGTGTCAGAACATTTCTGATGAGGTTAGAACAGCCTGCTCCAAGGTGTGAATGTTTTGATTTCAAAACATTTTGCACATCTTTGGTCAGCATCAAATTGAGCTTTTCCTCTTAACATGATAATTCTTCTTAAGGGTAGCCTTATTACAATAACAGCTAGCAAACAAAAAGCACATTAGCTGTTTCTCCCAGCTTTTCTTGAACAGTGTGGTTTCATGCCTACAATTTACTCAATAAATTTGGTTTCCCTTTTTTTCTTCATCATCAATACAACCATTGCTAGTTTTTATGGATGCTTTTGATCAACTCAGGGTATGTAACCAGATCTAAGCTATTATTTTTGTTGATGATGATCAGACTTCCCATGGATCTGTTTTGAGCACAAAAAATACAAAGTCTGTGTAATTGCTCTGAAAAGATTAGATCAGTTTAGACCAAACTGATTACAGCTGGAGTTGATTTCAGTTATATTTTTTTCCTGCATGTGAAGTTCCTAAACTAAATTGCAGGGCGGTGTGTGCTTCAAAAATATGTTTTGGACCTAGCACAAGAACAGCATCTCTCTGCTACTAATTAAGTCAGCCATGTCCTTTTTCAGGCTTCCGTACAATCCTGAAAAAAGTTCCTATTGCTTTAACAATGACTAAGTAACGTTATTTTTAAAGCAGCAGTAGGTTTTCCAAGGTGTACAGAACCCTGTTTTAATGGCTAGCATAAAGGTGCTGTGCTCACATGAGGTCTGAAGCACTTCTTCCTAATTACTTTTGAAGTCTTATCAAATTAATGGTGTGGAAAAATAATTAAATCCGTACTGCACATTTGGCACCCCATAATACATGTACAGTTTAGTTCACCAATTTCTGTATTTAACAGTCCATTCTATTCTTTTTTGCAGTGTCATTGCTAAAAGATCTAAAACATGCAAATATTGTTACGTTACATGATATTGTTCATACAGACAAATCATTAACTCTTGTCTTTGAGTATCTGGTAAGTTTCTTTTTATTCTCTCAAGTGTTTAGTTTAATCATCTAAAGCTTTAAAGATAGAGGTAGAGATATAGTAAGAAGCACAATAATAATATAATACATTATCTGGGAGGATAATTTTTCTAGTCTTTTTGATGTCACAATTTTAACTGTGTTCTAGCAACTCACAGTGGTACCTGGAAAAATGTTTTTCACTAGCTGCACATTTAGCATAGGATGTACAATATCTCTCTAGGTGTAATCTGGTGACTTTCATTCCTGCTTCCATGAATTAAGCATTAGGCTAAAGCAGTGCAGCACATCAGTCTTTTAGGGGCCCTAAGAAAAACTTAGTTCCACAACACAGGAGACAAACCCACAGGTCTTCAAATATTGTTGACCATCAGTGCCAATAAGCTCCAAACAGCCGAGCAGATGATCAGAAGTTATCATTTAGTCCATTAGATTGCTAGGGCCATGGATTCCCCGACCCTTTCTATAGACTGGACTGGTTCAGCTTAGAATCTTTTGGTGTAGTTTTCTTTTAATTCTTCCCAACTTAAAGGCATGTTGGAAAGAATTATGTAAAGCAGAGTGGGACTCTATCTCTCCCTTTTTCAATCCTGAAAAAAGTTCCTATTGCTTTAACAATGACTAAGTAAAGTTATTTTTAAAGCAGCAGCAGGTTTTCCAAGGTGTACAGAACCCTGTTTTAATGTCTAGCATAAAGGTGCTGTTCTCACATGAGATCTGAAGCACTTCTTCCTAATTACTTTCCATCAACATGATAGCTCTCCAACACCTGAACAGAGTGAGACCAGATTGGTGGTGAGGAAAAGCTAGCAAAGCAAAGATCAGGTCTGAAAATCAGTTGAATTAGGCAGAGGCTGCAGAACCCCCCCCCCCCCCCCCCC